AAAAAAAAAAAGACTCACAGAATTTTTTTACCTCGCTATACTATATTATATATTATATATAAGCACACCTACCCCTCGTCTAATCTAAGTCTGATTTTATACCCCCTTCCTCTCCTCCTCGCCCCCCCCCCGGAATAATAAAGTTCTATTGTACTGTATAGTAGAAATGTAGAGAGTGAAATCTGGTGCTTAGGTCCGAGATAGGAGTAGGAGTAGGAGTAGGAGAATATGAAATGAAATAAAATACACGTGATATGTCATCCTATCCTTGAGGTCCCATCCCATGTAGATTTTCACAGTATCTTTTTGATGAATAGATGGCAGGGCAGGTTTGCTTCATCCTCTCGGAATCTTTTTGATTTTCCTTACTGTTGGAAATCATCCCACCTCGTCATGTTACTTAAGTCACTCGTTTTCAATCCGCTGGCACCATCTGAGTCCCTTCTTAGGAAAAGTAGAAAAGTCGAAAGATACCGTAGCATACATCCTCTCTACAGTTCCGTCAGGGTGCCTGCCTGCCACCCGTCACTGCATCGCCTCGTCACGGCAGATTAGATTAGATTAGATGCAGCTAAACAAAGGAAAGGGATCCTGTGAGAACGAGACTGATGGGTGGTAGGAGTATGTAGAGTCCATGAGATGTTCAAATGCCTGGTTAGGTTGATAGGTCGGAAAATCTGATTCGACGAGTACTGTACATACTCTACGGTACTTGACCTAGAGTACTACACTGCACTGCACTGCACTGCACTGGCTCGTGACTGCTGGCAAGCATTGTTAAGTAGGATCTCGTTTCTTGTTGGCCTGCGAAAGGCAGCGAAACAGGGGAGAGGGGATGGGATGGGATGTTTTTGCTACCGGATGGTCATAGCTGGGCTGGGGTCTGCGGGAGCTCCCACCCTAGCCTACCAGCAAGCTCGATACTGTAGGTCAGGCGATACGAAATCCGATTTACCAGTCCAGCCCAGTTGCACCTCACACACCCCCTGAAGGATGGTATGAGAAAAAAGTGGTGGGGAGACGAGGGTGGAGTTTCGTGGAGCAGGCACCTGGTAGCGTAGCTTCACTACGAACTATTAGAGGCTGGCAGTGGCTCATGAAAGTGCGGCGCGCCGTCAGACCTCACCCCCTCGTCGTGATTTTTCCCAGGTTCCCGTCGAATGGTAGACGAGAGCGAGGGGCGGACCATGCGGCTCAGATTGCGGTCGTTGACATTCGTGGTGTCATGGTGAGCCGCGTGCGACGGGACTTGGACGGATGGGGTGATGAGGCAACCAAGGACCAAGCACCATCGATGCGGTACTTGGACGCATTGGTGATTTTGCAGCTTTTGCCTGAGTATGTTGTGGTCACTTGTGTTCGCTGGTTGGGAGTAAAGTGGTTCGCAAAGGGGGGGCTAAAAGGTGAGAAGAAGTTAGGCAACGAGGACGGATAGACAGATAGTGAGGCTGTCGATGGCATGGTATGGTTCTTGATAGTGGGGGGCGGAGGCAGCTATTTCTGTGCTTACAGTACTCTGCTGCAGGCGGATGGAGTGCGGCGAAGGACTGGACTGGGATGTTGTTCTCTTCCCTGTTCTGGCCGTACAGTACTCGTACAGTACCATAATGCAGTCCAAGACCAGAAACGAGACCTGAGCAAGGCGATGACAGGTCAGGGCAGCATAGGTACTCATGCGCCAGGAGAGGAGAAAGAAGGAAGCAGCAGGCCGTCGTAATACCACATTGATTGACTTTTTGGCATTGGACCACCTTTACATTTCCCTACCTTTATCCTCGAGCTAGAGAGCCAGAGCCAGAGTGAGAGTGAGAGCATGAGCATAGCATGAGTGTGCTGGGACTAGCGAGAGCGGAGTGATATCCGTTGCCGATTAGAGATGGGAGGGGTTTGGGATTGGCAATAATGGGAATGGGATGGGAATGGGATGGGAATGGGAATGGGAATGGGAAAATGCTATCGCGATTCTCGAACGTACGAGTAGATAGAGTAAAGGTAGAGGCAGACACTCGGCGTAGTGAGATATCGATCGACGAGTCTTCGTATGCTCCTTCCTCTTCCTCTCTAGTGACGGCTTCGAGAAAGAGGAGGCACTTGCACTGGAGAAGGAAAAGTGGTGGTGGTGAGTGCCAAAAACCTCGTCCCTCGGCCGGCCTAGTAGGGAAGTTTCGGGCGTGGATGCTGTCGCTGCCAGCTGCGGTGTAACTTTGCGTGAGCTTAGGTCGACGACTTAGTGATGCACCTGGATGCACCGAAATGCGGTTGGAGGGTGTACTGTAGCTGCCCTGGCTATTGGCAAGTATTTCCTGCCCTCACACCCAATGAGAAAGGACGACCTCTGCCCCTCATGAGCCAAATAGCCGCACCATTGACTTTTCACTGTAAAATAGAGGGTTGACACACTCGAGGCAACCAATCCCAAGCTGGTCCAGTCAGACCGGATATGGCAATTCTGCTTCCTAACCTGGCTGCCTGTCTGACGTGCCCCATGTCATGATCAGAAATAGAGCGGGTGGGGAGATGATGTTGTTGCCATTCTTTCAGATAATTGTCCGCCCTTCTCAAGCGCCGTCAGAATGATTTTTATATACTTTTCATACTTGATACTCGACAGCTTCATGGAGTGTCGTTGATGTTGAGTTGTTGGAGAGTCCCTTCCCGTTCGATTGGGGGCGCTAAGCTGGCAAGTTGTGTCATCCGTCATCCGTCATCAGGGGGGTCCCTCGAGCTTTCCCCACGCAATCGAAGTGCAGTCCCTAGCAGGTCCCTAGCAATCCCTTGGCCCTCGCCCTGTCGACTCGGCATTGCTGAGCCTGTTCTGGGTTCATCTTTCGCCGCCGCATCATCAGCTCTCCACCATTCAACGACCACGCTTGACGAAGCGAACACTCTAGGAGATTTGATATTTTCCACGATTTCGGGTGTGCTTCGTCGTGCGTGTTTTTGGCCGAGTACCCACGCCGTACCTAGGCACTGGATGGCATCACTGCATCAGATGAAGTTCGTCTTGAACGGTCTGATAATCACCTACCTATATCGAGCTATATGTACCAAGGTACCTAGGTAGGTAGTTGGGATCAAGGTTGTTCGGCGCGTATAGATATAGTTAGACATAGATAGATATAGATGATACTCGTACTGAGCTGAGAAGACCTACTACTAAATGCGTACAAGTACCGACCTACCTACCTAGGTACTCGGTACAGTTATAGGAAGATCTTCTCATCTCGCATTATTTCTGCTGGAACCCTTTACCCTTTACTCTTTACCCTTTACTCTTTACCCTTTACTCTTTACCCTTTGCTCGTTCGTACTCGAATAGCCTCCCCTCGCTCCAGCTCCTTCCCCTTCCCTCTCTATTTCTGACACTCGATGGGATGACTGTCCCTTAGGTGGCTCGTCCCGATCAGCAACCTGACCTTTCGCACTTTTAGAAGACACTGACGATCACGGAGTATTCCCTTTTCCATTCCTCACACCCACTGTGTGTCACCCTCACCCTAACCAACCTGTGCCGCTATCGCGCTTGCTCCGACCACTGGGAAATCAATATCCAACTCCCGATTCAGATTCAGCGCGCTCGACTTTCCCAGCTCCGGCCCAGCAACCGCATCAACACCAGGTGCAAAGTGTATTCGGGTGTCGGGGTACTTTGGGTGCTCACTGCATCGCATCATTGATTATTTGATGGATTGCGTGGTTGCGTCCTCCTCGTACCCACCTCCTCCAGTCCACCATTTCACCATTCCACCACTCCACTACTCCACTACTCCACCAAGTCAACTCCACCACTAGCTCCAAGCCAGAACAGCAAAAAAAAAACTTTCCACTGGATAGCAGCACCACCACGGCACCGCAGCACCACCACCGAGCCCGAGCACCGCACAACGCAGCACACCCCGTCACCAACTGCAGCGCATGTTGGGTTTGCGCTAACGACGAGTACGAGCCTCAACTTCATGCGTGCCGTCCGGTCTTAGCCTCAACTATCCTCCAAACGACCTGCCACCTGGTAATTGCCATTCCATCACCGTCCGGTCTCCAGCTTTCCGCGTTTCGTCCCAAAGTCAGAGAGGCTTAGAATAGTTAAGAGTACGAGTAGCTCGATCCGAGACGACCTCCAGGACACATCACCGATCCTCCGATCTCCCCGGCACAAGCTCATCCAACTCCACCTCGCTCCCTCACAGACTCGACGATCCGGCTTAGTTCCAAAGGCCCCCCCCCCCCCCCCC